AGGGGGGGAGGGTGGTTGGAGACCCCGAATAGTTTAAGTAAAAAACTGACCAAAAAATAATAGTTTAGGAGGATTTTAGGGTTTTAACTCTTAAGAAAAATATAATATGTGATAGCAAAGTTACATCTTTATAACCTTATCCGTATCTAATGCTGATTTACATCTTACTCATAAAGGCGGATCAATCGTGTAAGGTATGGGTTCATCTGAATTTAATAGTTTAAGCTCAAATCATATATATTCATAACAAAACTCACTAAATAAGTACAATAAATAAACAGATCTCGAACCCAATAAATTAAATTGGCGATAGATTCACAAACCGAAATCATAACGTTAAATACGTCTTTTTACTTCCCCTTCCCCTATTCATGGCCCACATCTCCAATAAAAAAAAGGGCATTAGAAACCAAAAAGATTTCTAAAAAAGAGTGGCAAAAACCCTTTATCAAATACTTGAAAATAAAAGGGGGAAAAAACGATGAGAGGGAAAGAACAGTTACCAGCTTCTGGGAGCTGTTCTCTGGGTAGAAGAATTTGAAGAAGCCTTTTTCCATTTTCTTAGCATCATCCATCTCACCCTCCTCTTTCTTTTCTCTATATAACAAAATTGCTTTTTTTTTTTTTTAAAGTTTACCTTAACCTTGTAACTAGGCTAGAAAACTGAAACCGTGTGGACAAGTAAAGATTTTTGTAATCTGAATAGTGATTACATAAATTTTTAGATTTGTCATAGAGCATTTGTTTCTTTCTCAAGTAATAAATGTAGAAATGTGAGGAATTATTGTGTATGAGCAGGGATTTTCCCATTTTGGATTGAAAAATTCAGCTAGTTTTTTTCAAGCAGCATTGCAAAAAATGGAACTCCATTATTTTTTTTCATTATATTGCAATAATTCAGTCAATGCGACAATGCCAATCCTTTTCACGTTAGTAATTCAAAACGCGTAACAAGTAACTATCATCTTTTGCAATTAGTGAAAACTCTGTTTAGCTTTTTATCAGTTTATAGGAAAACGTTTTCTGAAATATCATGGTAGGTAGATTACATTCATAGCAATATTTCTTTTTTGGCCATTATCCTCAAAAAGACTCTCCCATTAAAAGAAGAAAAAAAAAGAGCACATTTAAATCTCACTCATCTTTGACTAAATTACTTTTGTAAATTTTGTTCAGAATTTTATAAAGTCTAGTTATTAAATGCCCTACGGAGCTGATAAATTTAAAAATTAAAAGCTCAAAGCTAAGCATCCGCAAATCGCAGGGATTAGTCGTCCTGAATTAGATAAGTGCTTGACCAGAAGAATTGTGTGAAATAAGTGAATACATCAGACTTGAGCCATTCTTGATTGATTTAAACAAAACAATTCATTCAATACAACTTTAACTCCGTGAAGACTATACTAGTAGTGAAGAAGTAGAGAGAACCTTGGTTGTTGAATAATGGAAAAAATGAGAGAAAAAAGATGCACAAAAAAAGGGGGCAGAAAGAACATCAAGAAAATAACCTCTGCATTTCGACTATGGACATGTTAACAGCTAGATTTCCAAGGCTCCAATTGGAAAAAAGAGGAAGAAGACCATTATACAGAAATGACAGATAGAGAGTATTTGTTCAGATAGCTACAAGTGTGTCAATTTGTTGAGTTTTCTTCCGTGTAGCACGAAATATATGCACCTTCAACATAAGTTCATCAGCCCGAATGTCGTTGATCAACTCAAAGACACAAGTATCTCCTACCAGTAAATCATTATCTCTAACAAATTTCACCCATCCTTTGCTTAGAAACATCATAGTTTTCCTCCTAACGCAATGTGTATTCCACTTATTGCCATCAGGATCTTGAAGTTCAACTGGTACTGAAGTCTTTGGCATATAATCTTGAACAAATTCAGGTGGTATATACTGCAGAATAGGACAAATTGCAAAGTAAGAACATATTGAGATATAAAAGCAGTTTACGGCGAAAAAAGTGAGACCTTTAGTTTAATGTATAGGTAGAACCGTAGAAAGGCTCACCAGAATATAGTTCCGTACTACATTATATACTCCAAGAGTCGTCACGAAGTAAGGATTTGCTGGCATTAACATTTTGGCAGCATTAATGGCCATGTTTGCTTCTGCAGCCCTTGGTCGCCCTCTTTTGCGAGGATTATAAGGCCTTCCCCGCCCTATAGATTTCTCCTGTTGCTGGCTGGTGAATGATGTCTTTGTATCTGCGATTCATCAAATTAATTCTCAATGTGATACGGATAAGTTTTCGAGCTTACAATTTTCTGTTGGAAAAACAAACTAACCGTTCTTGCAATTGCTTCTATTTGAAGATACAGGTCCGAATGCATCTGAAGTCTCCGTATGCTTACTTTCGTTGAACTGAATACAGTTTCTTCCAATAGAAAGTGTTGGTTCAGATACGCTACAAGTGTGTAAGTTTGTTGAATTTTCTTCCACCCTAGAGCGAAATATGTGCACCTTCAGCATAAGTTCATCAGTCTGAAGGTCCTTGATCAACTCAAAGACACAAGCATCTCCTACCAATAAACCATTATCCCTGACAAATTTAAACCATCCTTCGCTTAAAAACAGATGCATTTTCCTCCTAATGCAACGAGCTTTCCACTTATTTCCAGCAGAATCTTGAAGTTCAATTAGTTCTGAAGTCTTTGGCATATACTCTCGGACAAAATCAGCTGGTATGTTCTGCAGATTATGACAACTTGCTAAGTATGTGTCAAGAAGAATGTGATGAGATTAATATACATGAGTTTGAACATATTGAGATACAACGCAGTTCACAGTGAATAAAATGACACCTTTAGTTTAATGTATAGCTACAAATGCTCACCAGAATACGGTTCCGTACTACGTTATATTCTAAAAGAATCTGCATGAAGTAAGGATTTTCCGGCTTGAACATTTTGGCGGCATTAATGGCCCTGTTCGTTTCTGTTGCTTTTGCTCGTCCTCGTTTGTGAGGCCTTCCACGCCTTACAGATTTCTCCCATTGTTGGCCAGTGAATGATTTCCTTGTATCTGCAGTTGGTTCTATTTGAATATACTGGTCCAAGTGTATCTTATGCTTACTTTCATTGAGCTGAAGTATATCGTTTTTACTTCCCACTTGTGCATCATCTTGATTAGTCACACCTCCAGTTACCACTGCAGAATATATAGGAGTATCCATATTTTGCTGAACTAATTTCCCCACAAGTGGCTTAGTTAAATTGCTACCGCCCGATATGTTTAAATTCTTCTTATTTAATACCCGTCCCTCGTCATGCAATTTGTTTGTTCTGCTTCTTGTATCATAGAAATGCCGAAATTTACTCCTAGGTAAAATTTTACATCTTTTGGCTCTAGATGACTTAGCTGAACTCTCTGGTCCTTGCTCAGTTTCCAAGGGATCCACAATTTCAACAGAGCTTTCGTCCTCTTTATCATCACCAACGCAGCAGATTATTTCCTTCCCGTAAGACAGGCTCTGACTAATGGCACCTAATTTAGCATTACCATGATCCTTACATTGATAATCAATCTCAGTAGCGTTGAGGTCAAATATGTGAACATTGAAATGTGAGTTCTTCCCATATTTGAAGAGTAAAAAGTACCAACGCCCGATAGAATGATGTTCCATAAATTCTCGCCAACTATCATGAAGCCAAATCATTTTACCAGACTTCTTCACACTCACACACCAAAAATCATCAGTCGGAACAATAAGCTTGACAGTGTCAAGGAGTTCATCTCCATGTTCCTGGACAAAGGGATCTGGCATGCGCTGCACCCAGAAATAATAACAAACATAGATTTGTATAAAGTCAGAAAAGAATGAAGTACTAACAACTTATGGCACAAAATGGTGGGGTGGCAATTGTAATCTTAATTAGAAATATAGAATAGAAAACTCATACATCAGATTTTTCTCAGTTTCAAATGGAGTGATTATCCACCAGCAAGCAGAAAAAACGTTCTTACCTGAAAGCAGGAGATGAGAGACTACAAGAGCAATGACTGACAATCCCGGGCATATAAAAGTTTGAGTGCAATAGTGTAATGAAAAGCCAAAGAATAGCAGATTTGCTATATATACTGAAGTATCAATATATGAAATGATGCCACGAGTATCTCTAGTTTCTGTTTTTTTTATGAACTATAGATTATCCATTCTTTTCTTTGTTGAAAAAGGTAGAAGTACGCAATTCAATATAACTTAAGGAAAGGTTGAACAACTCCTTGAAGAAGTACTGACAATGTTACTTGTGCAGCATCAAATTCTGTCAATAGAATGACGTTTTGTGCATAAAATCTTCATCATTTTTTAAGTCTTCATCATTGCGAAAATAAACAAAGATCTTTGTGCAGTTGTTAAATTAAAATGTAAGAGGAAATTTCAAAACCTCCAGTGACCTATGCTAGACGATCATTACAGAGGCAATCTTAGAGAAAAGATGACAGCAATGATACAGAGTGGTCAGTGCTCATGCTCATACATGTTGTCTGACCCTTCTACGTGATAACATGAGTGACTCAAACTATCATAAAAGAGAATTTCTTCAACCACGGTTTCATGATAAAGGTTTGCTTAGGGGTCATAAAGAACTAGAAAAATTATGTTCGGGTTATTCTCTGCATAGCCTAATCAGCTTGCTTTTTCCGGCACAAAATTACAAAATTTCCATCAATCACCATACTCTAAGTTGTCACAACCTAATACTAATCTCTACGACCAAGTAAGCAAATAAGAAAAGAAAAAATTGGAAAAATATAAATCAAGGAACTTTTCTGCCAGCAAAATATAGGAGTTCAGACATGTTTCCACTCGTTCCCGAACTTTTGCCTTCATTTACACTATTGAATAAGGCAAAAAGGGATGACCAATTGAACATCATCAATTCTCATTTAGGTGCAGGACATCAATTCAAGAACCATGATATATTCACTGCAAAAGCTGAAGATTTAATGTTTAAAGGTCTTTTATAGAACATTATCAGAGACAAACACCACCTTAGTCCTCCTAGTACTCCGATGTACACATCGCCATATTGAATTCAAAGTGTACAGTACAATGTCTTATGCATCAACATGACAAATGATAGTATAATCATCTGTCAGCCCATGAATTTTCTTATGTAGGATCATTGTTTCACTTATGTACACAAATTGAAAATATTTCGCTATTTCTAATTAGAATCATTGCAATGAATGTGCAGCCAATGCATATGCACCTATGATTTTTGGTCGACCTCATACATAGTTGAAGTATATATTTATGCTTTGTTCCCACTGATTGTGCACCCACTAACTTCTGATTTTCAAATTTTGGATCCACCTCTGAGAATCATTGGCTTACATGTGGAGTATAGTAGTTTCAAACCATCTAAATATTCTACTGATCAAGACACACAACTAGAGGCGGAGCCACGATTTGAAGTATTCTAATTTTTTTAAGTGATTGGGCTCTAAATTAATTCTTTGTACATAACTTAACGATTTTTTAAGACAAATAAAGGATTTGCACAAAAGTTATTAGGTTCAGGCGAACCCGTATCTAAAGGGCTAGCTCCGCCCCTGCACACAACCTAAACAAGACATCAAGATTCTAAGCTAATCGTATCGATCGGGATTGTTCATGGGTTCTCAAAAAACGTCCTTTTGTTCATATATTAGTTTATGAGTTTAACTTCTATGCAATAAAATCTTAAATTTTTACAACGATTAGGTCACCTAAAAGATAACTAACTTGTAATTGTCCATGATAAATGAAACTAGTAACTAGTAAAATAAGACGCTCAACCAACCTGCTACTACAACAAATTAACTTACACTATGTATATAACTTAAATCCTTTTGTTTATTTGACTGACTTAGTTGAGGGTTTGAGTGGCAAATTAAAGGGGCGGAGTAGTACAATTGAGTGAGAACTTACAAGTTGGCCGTCATCAATGACGGAAGGCTCAACGATCACGTAGAAACTGGCGGACGAGTAGGAGTAGGTTCTGGGTTCCATCCTCACGGCGTTTGCACTAATTAACGATTTCCCGGTTGACAAATTGGCAGAGAAAAGAGCATTGACCATGCAGGCAAGTGTCAATGTTATAACTTGATTGTAGGGTAGCAGACTTTTCGGCTTCGTAGAATATATTTCCCATAAATAACAAAATATTATTCTAAATACTTATGACACTAATGTTATTTACATAATTTTTCCTTGACTAAGAGTTTTTTTTTCAAGTCCTTAAAATTAAGATAACGCTTAACTGTTTGTGTATTATGATGCTTTCAGTTATGTTAATTTAATACATAATTACACTCGTGCATTTGTTAGAAATGAATGCGCATGAAAGCCGTCAAAAATTAAAACAAAATAAATTTGACACATGGCACGCAAAGATTGGCGCATGATTTGCACTTCTTCTTTTGAAATTGAGGATGGCAAGGAAAGTACTTATCATATTTCTAACAAATATAGGGTAATAGGGGTCATAGGACTCTCAGAAAGTATAAGGGTAATTATATATTATCCCTATTATTATACATATATAATACATAAGTTATGCATATATTATACATCCATCAACTATTTCTAGTTTAAATGGTTGAGTGTGTAGCTATTTGGGTTCAATTTTAAATATGTACTACGAGTATATGTGTGATGACCCGATAGATCATCTAGAGTTTTAACCTTAATTCGGTATTTCGAAGCCTCCAATAGCTTCTTCAAGCCTTCCTTGATTTGCATGCGCAGTCCGGGTATTTTTTCGGAAGGCTTTTATGTGAAAAAAAACTGATTAAAATGTGAATTTGTGCCTTAAAGTCCATATGAGTCGACTTCGGTCAAAATTTTAAGCAAACAGATCCGGATCTGTATTTTGATAGTTCCGATGGGTCCGTATAATAATTTGGGACATGGGCGTATGCCCGGAATCGAATTCGGAGGTCCCTAACTCGAGTTATCGCATTTTGTCAAAAATTTGAAGTCTAAAGGTTTAAAGAATTTAATAATTTGAACAAAGTTTGACTTTATTGTTACCGGGTCCAGATTTTGATTTCGGAGCTTAGTATATGTTCAATACTATATTCATGACTTGTCTGCAAAATTTGGTAAAAACGGAGTTAGTTTGACGTGATTCGGACGTCCGGTTTTTATAATTGAAATTCTTAAGTTTCATTGAAAATTTCATTTGATTTGGTGTCTAATTCGTGGTTCTAGGTGTTATTTTTGCGATTTGATTGCGCGAGCGAGTTCATGTGATATTTTTGGACTTGTGTACATATTTGGTTTGGAGCCACGAGGCCTCGAGTGAGTTTCGGATAGGCTACAGAGTGAATTTGAACTTAGAATTCATAGCTGATGCATTGTGTTTCTGGTATCTGTTGTAGATCTCGCATTTGCGAGCCTGGGCATGCCTGGGGGTCCTCGTATTTGCGAGGTAAAGTTCGCATTTGCAAACTTGCCAGTTCCGCTTTTGCGAAGGCAGAGTCGCATTTGCGACTCAGCATATTATTGATGATCTTCGTATTTGCGAAGAACAAGTCCGCATTTGCGAGGGCATCAGGGTTCGCATTTGCGATCAATTTATCGCAATTGCGATTACTAGGATTCTGAGAGGAGTTCGCAATTGCGGCCTCTTTCTCGCAATTGCGAACAAGATATTGCAATTGCGATATCTGCAGTTGGGTAAAAGCTAAGTTGGATGGGATTTTCCTCATTCTTTCAAATTTTCAACCCTAGAAACCTTAGAGGCAATTTTTCCAAGAACTTTTCTTCCCCAATTCATTGGTAAGTGATTCTAACCTACTTTCTTTCAATTTTCCATTACATTTCATAAGATTTCAACCTAAAATCTAGGATTTTCATGGTAGAAATTGGGGATTTGGGTAGAATTATGGATTTTTGCAAAATTAGAATTTAGACATCAAATTGAGGTCGGATTTCAAAACAAATTACATAACCGGGCTCGGGGGTGAATGGGTTTGGGTTTGGTCCGAATTTCGGGTTTGGACAAAACGGGACCGGGAGTTGACTTTTGTTCACTTTTTAAATAATGACCTAAATTGAATTCCTTTCATTCGTGGGTAGTTCTTAAGGCTTATTTTGAATCATTTGGTTGTTAAATTGCTAGATTCGATTGGTTCGGAGGTTTGTTCGAAAGGCAAAGCCGTGATTGAGCTTTGAGTCAATTTTGGAGCGAGGTAAGTGTTGAGTTTAACCTTGATTTGAGGGAATTAGGAACCCTCAGACTATGTGCTATGTGAATTTCATGTGTTGCAACGTATATGCGAGGTGACGAGTGCTTATACGCCGTCGAATTACTTGTTTCCCTGATTTTCCGCTTTCCCTTAATTACTTCCTTCCACGCCTTAACTTTTATAAGCTTTAAATGCCTCACATGCCTTATTTGATACTTGTTAATCATTGTTTCTCGTGTTAAAGATGTTAGACATTTCTATGTTTGCATGACTTGGTGCTATTTGCCTTAATTGACTTACTCGCACCTTTTAAATGTTATCTACTGGACTTGTCTTGCCTTGTGATATTACATATGTGAATTCTCAATTTGGTACTCCTTTCTGATTCAGCTTAATATCATCAATCGTAGAGGTTCTTGTGGTTTGAGTTACTGATTTGATTATACTCATTGAATATTTAATGCTGATATGGTGGGATCGGGTTGACACCGCAACAGGTGAAAAAGGTGAAAAAGGGTTAATTAATACGGTGAAATAAGGGTCAATTTGTACTGATATGGTGGGATCGGGTTGCACGCCGCAACAAGTGAAATAAGGGTGGATTGATACGGTGAAATAAGGGTGATGTTTCATACTTCAATACCACACAAGAGGGGGGGTGATTTGTGTGGTACCCAATTTTCGCTTAACTTGATTATAGAAGGACCCGGTTCTTCTATATGTTCCAACTACTAATGTTTGCGGAATAATAAGTAAAGAAAATAAAGAACACAGAGAATTTTACGTGGAAAACACCTGGCTCAAAAGGTGAAATAACCACGACCTACTACTTAATAGGATTTTCCCAAACTTCCACTAAAATCACTGAGCCAAAAACTGCATTTGCAAAAACTCTTTTGTAAACCTAGGATTAACTCTAATCCCGTTGTGGCACACAGCCTCAACTGTTGCGACAACTTCAAGTTAACTTTAACTTGAATACTCTAAGTACCTAATATAATTGCTTCTATAAAAGCTGAAAGGTACAATGTAAAATCACCTACTACAATTGAACTAGAATAAAAGGTAGACACTTGAAAATAGTTCTTCTATCTTGTTCAATTAGCTTCAGGATTGCACGCTTGAATCCCACATAAATTGCTTGCAAAATTGCCTTGCTATTTTGCTCTCAATTCACGTTTAACTTCTGCTTATGTACATTACCTGTAAAAGAGAACAATACTGATATTTAATAGGTTAGTAATTAGAGATTGACTGGGATACAGACGCTACTCTTCTATGGTAGAAGAGTTCTAGTTGATCTCATACTCTAACACCATCCTCTTCCTAAATTGTGTTCTCTTCGTGTAAGGAGTCTTTCTCTCCTTATCCAATATGCAACCTTTTCGATCAGATCAGGAGATATTACTTCTGATAAGTTAGATTTATCTCCTTTACGTGCATCTCACATGCTTGGGTTGATCATGACTGTGCTTCACAAGATGGACCTGGTCCATGTCTGAGTTCTTTTGTCACTCTTCAAAACTACACCTTTACTTGGGCCAACAAATTCCCCCTTTTTGATGATGACAAACTCTGTGCTTTTTACTTACTTGGACCCTGTAAGAACTCAGCTTAACCATCAACACAAAGTTAGAAAATTCACTTATCATCAAGGACGGATTAATTAGGTTATAAATATCACTTATTCAGAATATGTAAAGCACAATATCTCTTCCCCCTTTTGGCATCATCGAAAAGTTGCATACACAAAGTGTGAGTCCCAGATTTTAATAAGTACTCATGTCCACTGGGGCAACTGCAAGTGCAATCATGGATTAATCATCAGTAATCAAGAAAACATATTTAAACTATGAAGGAAATATTAACATTTAATCAAGAGCAAAAACAGTAGATATCATTGATTGAAGATATGTTGCTACCACAATCCACAACCAGAAAGCAAAAATATTCAAAACATGAGCAAAAAGAAAGAAAAATCCCTAATCCGGGTTACTGAAGGTACTAGACAGGTTCAGGCGATAAAGGCTGGAATTCCTAAGGCTTGGGAGAGTTAGAGGGTTGGTTTTGGGCTTGGAGAAGATTCAGCATATAGTGAAGAATTCCATCATTCTTCTCCTTTTTCCTTGGTAAGCTCAGTTTTGAGAGCATCCCTCTCAGATTCCACCTCTGCCACACGAGCCTTTAGCCTAGCTATCTCAGCATCCTTGGCTTCACTTTCCTGAACAAGAGCCCTGACTTTACTGTTGATAGGTGTCTTCTTGGATGAACCAGGTTCATTTGGGATGCATTGACTAAATAATCACAAGCAAGCTAAGTATTAATGCCAAAGTAATCCTTGCTTGTGGCCATTTCCCATTCTTCAGAGGCACATTGCACCTATCCAGAACTGTAGTCAGAATAAAGCCATAGGGGTAGCATGAGTCTTGGAGCCATTGATAACCCTGTCCAGTAGCTTGATGATGAATGCAGGACAGTTAATTTGCCTACCACTTTCAAGGCACTCCATCAGAACTAAGTCCATATAATTTGCAATATGCCTTCTCTCCTGCCTGGGCAGTAGGCACTTGTTGACAAACTCAAAAATGACTTTGTAATGTGGCTTCATTTCACTCTTGTGCACAAACTTGGCCTCATTCACTTCTTCAACATCACAAAATCTCCTAGTGATTGTAAGGGCAGACGGAAGGGAATCCAGACTTGGCCATCTCTGTCTGGTGTAATCATCATATCCCTCAGCAGGGATGTCTAGAATCTCTCCCAGTTTCTCAGCATCAAATGTCACTTGAACTCCTTTGACTTTGCTTGTAACTCTGCCATCTTTGACTTCAGCATTT